GAGAGAAGAAGAGGGGTGGAGGGTAGTAGGATGAGGGGAGGAAAGGGGAGGGGGAGGGTGAAGGGGGAGGGGGGTAGTAGGATGAGTACGGGAGGAGGAGGATGAGGAGGAGGGGAGGGAGGAGAGGAGGAGGAGGAGGAAGAGGATAGGAGGAGATGAGAGGAGGAGGAGGGAGGAAGGAGGGGGGATAAGGAGGAGGAGGAGGTGGAGGAGGAGGAGTGGAGGAGGAGGAGGAAGAGAGGAGAGGAGGAGAGGAGGAGGAAGGAGGAGGAGAGGCGGAGGCGGAAGAGGCGGAAGAGGCGGAGGCGGAGGAGGCGGAAAAAAAAAAAAAAAACAAAAGAAAAAAAAAAAAAAAAAAAAGGGCGGGTGAAGAAAAAAAAAAAAAAAGGGCGGAGGCGTAGGCGGAGGCGGAGCGGAGGCGGAGGGAGTCGGGGGCGGGTCCGGGGCGGAGCGGAGGCGAGGAGGAGGGAGTGAGGGAGGAGGAGGAGGGAGGAGGGAGAGGGAGGGGATGATGGAAGTAAAGGATGCAGGAGGAGGAGGAGGAGGAGGAGGAGGAGGAGGAGGAGGAGGAGGAGGAGAGGAGGAGAAGGCGGAGAAGGCGGAGGCTGGACTCGACCCAAAAGGGTCCTGCACACGAATTCGACCCAGGGACCCCCCAAGCCTCCCAGACTCAGCCCCAGCCAGGCATTGCCGCGCCAGGGACCACGCTGGAAAGGTCGAGGGGATCCTCGGGTCCCGAAACACCACGGGCCCTGCGGGCTTGGGCCTCTGCCCTGGCCTCCAGGGCTCTGGACCCCAACAGCTGGGCCTCTGCCAGCTGGAGCCCGAACGAAGACAAGACCTCCAGGACGCTGGGCCTCTTAGGGCCAGCCCTAAGGGTACCCGTTTGGGCAACCACAGGAGGCTCGGGGGGAAAATGCCCAGACCAAAAATTGATCTCGGACTCCTCAGGCGACCGCAAGCTCCCTAGAAGCCTGTTCCCTTTGGGGTGCTTCAGGTGCTTCAGAGCGGAATTGTTATTCCTGGCGCTTGGGATCGGGCCTCCTGGACACTTATCCTGAAGGCCTCGACCCCGTTTATCAGATACGTACCCGCGGCACGTCGTACAAAAGAGGAGGGTGCCGCAGGACTGCTGGGCCTCACGCGCCTTTTCATCAACAAAAATGGGCGCGGCGAGCAGCGCGTGCCCAGCGACGCGCCAAGGTTGCAGTCCAGCAGGCGCGGCGTCGGGCTCCGACGGGGCGCTGCCACCTGGCGCCTGGGAGCTGGCCGCGGCCTCACCTTCCACGTCCCCACCCTCATCCTCGAAACCCGCTGGCAACTGCGGCCACTCGCCGAGGTCGATGAGCCTCAGCGCCCCCACTCCCATGGAGTCGAGCGTGCTCGTACGCGACAGCTGCACCTCGTGCGCGGCAGCGAACCGCGCCGCCAGGCGGGCCAGCGACAGGCAGCCCTCGACCACGAGGATGTCGCTGAGGTTCGCCCTGGCCGCCGTCGCGCCCTGCTTGGCACGCCTGTCGGCCCGAGCGTTGCCATCCAGCTCGAACTGCGAGACTAGGCCGTCCACGACAGCCTTGGGGCCCTGGTGGGCCTTGATCTTGACGACCGTTACGTCCTGCAGCTGCTCCGCTTGGCCAACCCAAAGGTGCGCCCGCTGGCCGCTGGCTGCGGCCGCTGCCGACGGGTTGGCAGCGCAACGCACTGTGGCCATGCAGTCAGTGTAGAGCCTGTAGCTGCCCCCTGCCACCTGCGACGTGAGGACCTTCACCGCGTAGTCCTCGCCATCTCTGGCCAGCTGCTCGGGGGCCACAGCAATCGGGACCGCCCCCCACGCCTCCGCCACCAGCCTGTAGGCCTCGTCGTAGACAACCACTGCCCAACCAGCGGTGCGCAGGCGCGGATAGGCTTGGTCGAGGCCCGAGCCATCAACAAAGACGCGGTGCCCGTTGAGGTGCGGTCCCAAGGTGTACCAGCTCGTCGAACTCTCGAAGTAGTCCGCCTCTGGCCGAACAGGCCTAGGGCCTAATCATCAACTCCGAAATGTAAGGGAAGAGGCCCCTGGCAAACAGGTCGGTGAACGGGAAGCCAAGGCCTTCCACTCGATCAGTGGCTCCGCGCAGCGGCTCCTCCAAGTAGTCGCGCCCCCAAGCCTCGTGCGCCTCGCAACGAAACCGCCTGTGGAAAAGCGAGCCGTCCTTGAAACCGCAGAGCTGGCAGTTAGACGGCACCGACCGCGAGCTGTCCGCCGCTGCCACCCTCGCCTGGCACCAACCGGTGTTCTGGATGAGGCTGCGCAGCGCCCGCTGGTGGTGCTGGTCCCAGACTCGCGACCGATGGCTGGCCAGATCAAGGATCGGTTGCCAGGAGGGCGGAAGGCTCCAGCCCCACATGCTGGGACCCTGCCTGGCCGCTTCCTCCAGCCCAATTGCGACGCGGCACTGCAGCGCCACCAGGCTGCCAAAGAATGCGGGAGATCCCCCCCTGACGTCGTAGGCTGCTCCTGTGCTGTCGTGAACCAGGTAGGGGTCGCCCTGCAAGAAGCCCCAGCCGACACGATCCAAAGTGAGGACCAAAGCGCAAATGGGGTCCTTGACCTGCCGCCAAGGATGCCGTTGCTGGACGAGCTCCATGCCCCTGGCCAGGCAGGAGCGGGCTGCCGCCCCAGGCAGCAGCGAGGCCCAGATCACCTCGACGTAGGCCATGAGCGCGGTCCTGGTGACAATGGTCAGCGGGTCCCTCTTCCAGCCACTGGCCTGGGCTAGGCTGGCAAGCCCCAAAGCCGCTCCATGGGGCAAGCGTCCTCTCGCCTTGATCGCCCCGACACGCAGCTGACGCAGCCTGCCATTCGGGACGCCCATGATGGCCGAGCCCCAGGTGGCCTTGGCCGTGGGGCCCGCACGGTAGACCTTCGCACGGCCCAGCCCAGGGCGGCAGAGGCAGGTGAGCTTCCTGCCCTGAGCTCGCGCCTGTACTTCACGTGTGGCCGCCGTCGTGACGCGGCGGTACGACCCTGAGATCGCGTCCCCATCCAAGGTCCCTGTGCATGTCCACAAAGTCGTCTGGCCCGAGGTCCTAGCCAGGTTGCTGCATCAGCGCTTGGCGCAGCTCCTTGCTCGTGGCCAGCGCCTTGGTCTTGTGCCTGCTCAGTGGCAGGTTGGCCTCGCGCACCTTCTCGCAGAAAGCCCTGTAGGTAGCTCCCAGCTGCTGGGCCACCATGGAGCGGGGCCCTGTGACGTGGGCCGAGACGTCATCCACCACGTTGAGCAGCCTGGCCATGGGCGTCGCCGCCGCCGCGGCCCGCAAGGTCGAGAGCAAAAGCAGCTTCGCCAGCGCCGTGGCGCAGGAGCAACCAGCCACGACCGTGCCGTTGGGCGCCGCCGCCTCGCTGAGGCAGGAGCTGATGCGCGCCCGCCGCGGCGCCAGGTAGGTGACGCAGAGGGCTCTGAGTAGCCCGAGGTCGAAGTCCCATGCCCGCGCCGCCACCTTGAGCTCGGCGTGGCCAATGTGATCGTAGTACTTATGCAAACCCATGTAGATGGACGCGGCCTCCTCTTGCACGGGCTTGGCGTGGGCTACAAAGACATTGTGGAGCCACGCCGACTTGTCACACCCTCGCGAAGCTGAGGTACCCCAGAAGGGGGTTTGCTCCAGCGACCTATCCCATTTGGCCGTGTAGCCCTGGCGCACCCTTGACCAGATCCTGGCCAACAGCGGCATGAGCCCGATGGGCCGCTGCCCTCCATCAGGCTTCGGCAGGAATACCATGATCACGGTCCACATCTCGCCGCAGTAGGGAGCGCGCTCCCAAGCGTTGAGCAAGCTGGCGAGCCTGGCAAGGATGCCCTCTCCCACCTCCAGCAGCAGCCGCGGGTGGAAGTTGTCCCAGCCAAGGCCCGCGTGCTTGGAGAACTTGCGCGCCGCGAGCTTGATGTCATCCACCGTGGTCGGCGGCAGAGCCCACTCGCCGACGCCCTACAGGCATGGGTGCTCTTGGCCGCTCCGACTGGGGTTAGACCAGAGGGGGGGCCAGCCAGCTAGCACCCTCTCAAGCGCCGTCTGGCCCACCAGAGCATGGTCGACCGAGCCTGCCTCAAGGACGGGGCTGGGCTCTCCGTGGGTCTTCTTGATAACCTTATGGGCCAAAGAACCTTGGCGTTCGAAAGCCTGCTCCGAGAAGCCGTCCCATTTGAGTTTGCTGGCCTTGGCATACTCCTTGGTGTGCTTGGCCACGACCTGTTTCATCACGAGTAGGAATGTGTAGCCCAACTCCGTCTGGCGGCCCATCTCGTTCCAGAAACTCAGGAACGCCGTGCCGTCGAACATCGTGGTGGACTGCTCCTGGAACTTGACCTTCAGGCGGCTGGCTGACTCGAGGAGCTGCTGCGCTCTTCTGGCCCTGTAGCCGTTGGGCAGGTCGTTCGGCCCGATGGGGCCCAAGTCCCACCTTCTCTTGGACAGGTGGCGCAGCGACAGCCAGAGTTGGGTGACCTCTGACGCTCTTTCGAGGCGGTTCTCCTGGACCTTAGCCTCTAGGGGAACTGTGACAGTCCTGAGGCCCTTGGACCTGCCCTTGTAGTACTTGGCTTCACTACTGGGCATGCCATGCAGCGCCTGCATTGCCTCCCCAGCTTGACCGAACCAGCCCTTGACTGTTCCTTCTAGGCCTGGGCAGGGCGGGGGCCAGGGGAGGGTGGCCACCAGCAGGTCGCGCCTGGTCCTGGCCTCCTCCTCGGCCTCGAACTCCAGCGCAAAGCCCTTCGGCGCGCGCTGCGTCTGGATCATGGACCGCTTTCCAGCAGCCACGCAACGCCAGCGTCACGGCCTGGCGCGGGCCGCTGGAGTGTCCACGCGGCACTTGATGGAGTCCACAAGGTCCTCCAGCGCGCGCGAGATCACGAAGTAGTCGTACCCGTTATCATTGCATGTGGCCAGTCCTGGTGCCAGAATAACTCCTCCCATGAGCTCAGGCCAGCCAGAGGTTGACAGCTCGCTGGTCTCAATGTTCCAGTCGCCACCAATGATGAAGGGCACGTCCAGGTGCGCGCACCACGAGTGCACTTCTTCCAGTGGCTGCCTATTGGGCCCTTGGAGCCCTATCGAATCCTCGAGGTACACTGAGATCATGGCAATCGTAGTGCCCTGGCCCACCGAGATTCGACGAGCAATGGAGCGATGCTGAGCTCCACCCCACGGTTGGAGGAATCTCGCGGTGCCAAGCAGCGTCGAGGATACAATGGCCACTCCCGGCGAAACTGCCGTGGCGGCATCTCCAGTTCTAAGGACTCCTAAAGCAGCAAGAGTGTGGCCTCCTCGGCTGGCCCAACCATGGGCCTGCTCGACCGCCATGTTGGATGTGAAACGCGTCTCCTGGGCGAACATCACGTGCGGTGCCATCTGCTTCTCACTCATCCACTCGTGGACACTGGAGGCCGTGTTCCACGCGTTGCCGTTGTAGGTGCACACAATGAGCTTACCTTCCAGCTGCCCAGGCGCAAGTACCAGAGCACCCTTGTCGGGAAGCAGGCGATCCAGCTGCAGTGCCCCAGCCTGGGCCCCGAGACGCTCCCTCCTAAGGCTTGCAGGCGCAGTCGCCGAGCCCAATGACGCCATCGTGGATGTAGTCGCGGAAGCCCATCCTGAAGTCCCCTGCCTTGGACTCCATGTGCCTCCATGTCGCTCATGTGGCTGGGCCTCTCCCTGCTGGTCAGGGCCGTGCGCCACGCTTCCTCCCACTGCCGCGGGAAACGACCACCCCCCCGTCGGGGGCCGTGGCAGCGGGGCACCTGGAGAAGGGGGCGGCCATCCGCGCGTCCGCGGCTCCCTCAGTCCAGTTTGAAGCGTACCAGGCCAGTCGTTGCTGGGAGAGGCCGTGCCAGCCCCAGACCTCGCCGTCTCCGCTGACGGCGTGCCCGACGAGCCTGTCGCCGCGGAGGCCGACCCAGGCGTCGCACTCCACGAGCTCCAGGTACCTCTGTGTCGCTCATGTGGCGGGGCCTCTCCCGTCTGGGCGGGGCAGTGGGCTACTCTTCCTCCCGCTGCCACGGGCATCGACCACCCCCCCGTCGGGGGCCATGGCAGCAGGGCACCTGGAGGGGGGCTGCCAACCACGCGTCCGCGGCTCCGCCACTCCAGTTTGAAGAGGCCCAGGCCGACCGTTGCGGGGAGAGGCCGTGCCGAACGCCGAACTCGCTGTACTCCACGTCGTCCACCGAGACGGCGTGGCCGAACTGGTAGAGCTTGAGGGCGCGGGAGTGTGACGGCAGGGGGCTGAATCCCCTTCCCCCGCGCCCCAATATGCCTCCATGCCCACGTGGCTACCCGCGGAACTGAGCATCACCTGCAGCACCAGCAGGCCCTGGAGCAGCCTGGCCACCCACCCTGGGCTCGGCGCGCAGGCGGGCATTCTCCGAGGCGGAGGCTCCGAGCTTCGCCGCGTTGCGGCGAATCTGCTCCGCCATGGCATCACCTGCTGCGGGTGCTGCTGCTGTCGCTGCAGCCGCAGGCTCCCGCTGCTCTCCAGCGGGCACCTCGCTAACAGGCGGGGTCGCGGGGGCCGTCGGCGACTCAGCCGCTGCCGCGGGGGTGGCCTGGCCGCCCACGGTGTCGTCGCCGATCTTCCGCTTCTTCTCGATCGCGCTTGATGCGCCGCAGCTGCTCCTGGCACTGCTGCTCGAAGTGCTGCTGGGCCACCCGGATGATGTTGTGGCCCTCGTCACAGAGGCGCTTGAGGTTCGCCTGAGCCTCCTCCTCCAGCTTGCCGAAATTCTCGAGGGACTCGGCGTCAAAGTTGAAGGTGAGCTGCTTGTCCACCTCCAGAAAGGGCGCTCCCACTCCCGGCGCCTGAGCGCGACGGCGGAGGAGCTGGGCCTCCTCGGCCTGCGCCTCGGCGAGATGGAGCGCACATGTGTCGCGCCAGCTGCGACAATCAGCCATCTGCGCCCCCGCCGCTGCCATGGCGTCTGCAGCGTCGTCGAGCTGGCGCTGGAAATTGACTCGGCGGTCCGTAGCTGACTGCAGCTGCTGCTCCAACGTCTTCTCCGTAGCCGCTGGCGATGGTGGCCTGCATCCCCTCGCAGCATCAACCGCCTCACGAAGACGCGCGGAGATGTCGGGATCTGGGATGGCCAGCAGCAGGTCGAGCTCTGACTGCGACGAGGCCGACCAGGGCGCGTCAGCGAAGCCGGTTCGGCCACCAGGTCCCAAGGCCGCGCCCCCCTTGCCACCGCCAGACTCCGCGCCGATGCCGACCTTGCCGCCCTTCTTGCCACCCTTCGGCTGGGCCTTGCCTGCGCCGCTCCCTTTCGGCTCGCCGCCCTTTGCCCAGACCCCATAGCGAGGCGACGGCTTGGCAGGCGGGAGCTCAAGGCATTGGCCACAGAGCCAACAGGACGGGTTCTTGCGGAAGTTCCACCTGTATCGGCACGCCGTGCAGCTGACAAAGCCAGGAAGTGCCTTCTTCGGCGCCATCGGGAACTCGAGGGCGGCCGAAACTGCTCAGTC